GGTTCTCCTCTCGGACGCGGTCAAGGACGTCGGGTCGCTGGGCCATGATCTGAAACAGCCAAGTGCAAGCGCTGCTGGTTGCATCCTGTGAGGCGAAGAGAAAGGTGAAGATGGTCTGGGAGATCTCATAGTCGTTGAACATGCGGAGGAGTGGCTGGGGCTTCTCCAAGCCCTCAGTGTCGCCCTTCGCCTCGGCCTCGCGCCATCGCTCGCTGTTGATCATCTGCACAATCCACCCATCCATGATGCAGGTAACGTCGCCACCAGCAGCCATACGGACTTTGCTCTTGGCGGCGCATTTGGCAAACTCGCCCAAGACCATGTCAGCGGCCTTCTTGCCGTACCAAGTCTTGGTGTAGGGGATGATGATGGGGAAGTTGACGAGCTCGAGAGCGGCGGTGATAAGGTAATAGTCATCGGAAATCTTCTTGACGGCCTCATCTGAAATGTAATGGCCGACAAAGGAGCGGCAAGAAACGGCACACATGACATCACGGAACTCGGTCATGAAAGGCATAGGCTTGCCATCGTTCTCCTTGGTAAGTCTGACGAATCGATCGAAATAGGCGTTATACACCTCCTCCTGACCGGGCAGGTAACATTCGAGTGACTTGCGGGTGAAAAGATTGTTGAGACCCTTGCGGAAGTCGGTATGCAGCTTGCCGTCGAGGAAGACCCAGTTGTCGTGGCCGAGGAGCTTGTGCGCAACATCAACGACGCAAGGCTTCACGTACGAGGGCGAGTTGAGGACCTTACGAGCCATGTCTCGGGTGGAGGCGATGACGACGAACCTGTGCAGAGCATGTCAGAGAACTAGCACTATGGGGTCGGCGGAAGAAGCAATACTAACTTGTGGAAGACGGAGACACAGCTGAGGGGGCCGCTGGCCCACTTGGCATAGTACTCCTCAAACTTGGGATCCATGGACTGGAGGAAGGGGCCGATGAAGGGCATTTTCCATGAAGGACCCTCAATGGAACCCTTTCTGAAGATGTAGCTGACTGTGAGACGACCGGCGTTAGCGTGACGGATCGTTGGGCATTGGAGAGAAGGGAATCTCAAAGGAACGCACCCTGGTCATAGACGACACACATGGCGGCGAAGGTGAAGACGAAGGTCCAGATGCTGGCGTTGGAGATGGCGTCGACAACATAGTCGAGTTGGGGCGGGATGTTGACGTTGGCGTATTTTGCGTTGGCCAGGACGGACGTGAAGCCCGAGGCAGTGGAGTTGATGGCGTCCATTGTGGCTAATGGATGGGGAGACGACGGACAGGTCGAATCTACGCCGGGGCGATGCGAATCGGATCGAGAATGAGCTGTGTCGCGTCACAAACTGCGGCCGAAGTTGACGAATCTAGTTTTGGTGTTGGTGCGTCGAATCTTAGGCGTGCGCCGAGCCAGACAAGAGGCAGACGGGAACCACCTTTTGTGCGACGGGGGCGGCGAAGGAGGTGACAGAAGGAACAGTCGACGGCCAAAGGAGTTGACGAGAACCTTTGGGGGGGAGGAGGACTGGGCCTTGTAGGTGAAGAGAGAAAGAGGAAAAGAGAAGGGGGGTGGGAGTGGGAAAAGAAGGTTGAGAGGCCCGGCGATGGAGGGAGGAGGCGTTAGTAATTCCCGGGCAGGGCACCGCAGGCGCCGGTAGGGTCAGGCCTCAGGGCGCATTTAAAGGAGTGCTTTTGAAGGGTCCGGGTCCGTTGAATGTGTGTGGATATGCATGGGATCCTAAAAGGGCCCGGGGCTCCGGGGGGGCAGAGAAGACCGAGCCAAGGGTGGGATTTTTCAGTGGTGGTGAAGAATGAGTGAGGAGATGCATCGAGGTGGTGGACGAGACAAGGGTCACAATTTGACGCTTCCCGCGTATTCTCCACGCCGTCTTCTGTCACCTCTAGAAGTATCAGGGGGATGTTCGATGAAGCATCTGCATTATCTAGAGTTTGCGTCGTTGCTCTTCATTCTCCTCGCCTTCTTAACGGATTGATCCTGCTTCCTCGCTCTTGACCGGGGCCGACCAGAGGTTAATACTGTCAACAATGGCGATGGGGGGGCGTGTGGTTGTCTTCAAGTGGATGCTCACGGTGGAGGCGCTTGGTGGGGAGTGCGGAATGGATGTTACCACACGCCTTGCCTCTTCCCCGGTAGTACCTACGTTACCCTCTCTTCCCGCAGCACTAACGAAGTCACTTTGCGATTCGAAGCAGCATCAACAACACAGCAAGCAGATAGAAGTGTTGGCAGACGAGGCGCAACAGGGATGCGGCCGCTACTCTGGAACGCAACAGGGTTGGTCATCGCGAATGCTGGCAATACGATAGGGATGGGCCGGGACAAAGGGCCGAGCCATGACGGAGGCAATTGCAGCAATGAATTGTGACAAGCCGATGGGCCCGGGGGGCGTGCAGATTGGACGAACTACGACTTCGCCGCTCTGACTCTGGGCCCTCTGAGATGACGACAAGCACCACTTGTTGCTGGGCTTCATTTCAATCGCTTTCGGCTTTTTTTTTTTTTCGCAGGCTATCTCCATCGCGGGACGAACCCACCTTTTCGAATTTCCCATCATGGTCTAGCGCGGCAATTTGGTTGGGCAAGAAGCACGGTTCACCTCAAACCATGGAAGGGCCGGCCACCTACACCTCTTCACTTTCCACACCTCTGCCGCCATCATTCATCACAGCGTGTGTGTGGCACAGGTGCAGCAACAGCACCTAAATAATGCATCGCATGGCGCGTCCCATGGGCACCCCCGACGTCCATCATTACGGGTAACCCAGCCAGCAGGCCTGTTGCCCCGCCGGCTACGCTGAGCTCCGGGGCCTAGGAAAACAGGCCACTCTGCGGCACCCGAAAGAGCAGGCGTAATACCGAGTACGTACAGTAAGCTGGTAAGTGCTTAACCTTGCCAGAGGCCCTGGCCGCCGGGAGTGAAAGCGAGATCGTCATCTGCTGTAGAGGTGCCGACCCCTCGGGCACAAACTCAATCAAATCAACTCAATTCATCCAAACAATCAATCACCCAGTCAATCAGTCGAAAATCAATCGCTTGATCGGTCTCCCTTCTATCCCCAGGTTTGTTCCCAGCCGCGCTTCCTCTACTAGTTTCTTTCGCATCTTGCATCTCGCATCATCGCAAATTCATCGTCATAACACGCCGCTTTAACATCTTGGCACCACCCCCCATGCCTTGTCCACCCCACACCGCCGCATCCATCACAACTCCACCACTCACTCTCTCTAGTGCTATGCCACCATCCAGAATGCTTCCACCACCATCTCCACGCCTGGTCAGCGTGTCAGTAGCTTTCAGGCGCTGGTGGATTGATGGTGGATTGATGGTGGATTGACAGCAGATCCGTAACAGCATCTGGCGTACAGGTGCGACCTGGTATGTACGGCAGACAGCGTACCACTTCAGCGGGAATTCTCCAATCCCCTGAGTTCTCTCGTACATCGTACGTTTTATCAACATGGCGTATTCGATGTATTAGGGCTGGCCGAAGAGCCCCGACTGCCAGGTGCCCTATGCTACATCATTGCTTCCCGCCAAGATCCGTCCCAACCCGTCAGGTTGCACCGCTCATTGGCCACAATTCGCCGTCTCGTTCTCGATCTCTCGACGCATGTTACTCAATAAAACAAATTCACCCCTTGAGGCGGTGTCTGATCATAAGCTGACTGTTTGACGGCCTGATGACTTGCTCCAGTCCTCAGACGATCGTTACGCTCCCAGACCCCTCAACTCTGCTTTCTCACAATACGGATAATCCCTAAACCACTGTTCTATCAGACCAAGCACCAACGACCAGCTAGGCACAAACTGCTTCTGCACTGTAGTTTTGGTAGTATTCGATATCCGATCCTGGGTATCTTCCCTTCCTAAATACCCAATGTCTGGGCTTGTGTTCGCTTCACCTAATCACATATCAAGTTCCCCCCTCCAAACTCCGTGTATTCGTATTCGGGAACCGTTCAAGCTTGACAGACCCCATTGCCAGACGACGGGAGACCTCCTTCATAGATGCGGACGTCGGGCCCTTGCATACTCGCCTTTGGTGTCAGCGCGACTGTTTCCAGTATTGATGGCTGAGCCATGAACATGCCGCGGTTATGTGTCCGCGTATCCGTATTGTCGGTCTCAGCTCTTGACCATGTGGAACGTGTGAAAATGAACAAGCCGTTTGGGCTTCGTAGTCGCGGCACTGACGCACGTCACGTTGGCCCGGGTCCAGGCTTGACCACGCTTGATCCCTAATACCAGCTTTTCAAGAGGCCGAACATGGTCGTGGTCCCAACCGATCATCAGATAACTCAGATACAGAGGCTCAACTCAAGACAGGGCTTAAAGTGATGAACTCGACTCTGAACTCAAAGTGTCCAGGGGCGGCGCCGCACACTAGCTCTATCAATCGAAGAGGACAAGGGGTTATGCACTGGACTTCACAGCTACCAGACACCATCAACCAGACAAAAAGGCACGACTCCTGAACATTCGTCATAGCGATTGGCGCATCTATTATCAGGGTCGCGTGGCGTAACCAGTCACCACGCCAGGTGTGAACAGGGGGCGGGCCTTTACACAGATGAAGAGAAGAGAATCCATCACACCCACGAACAAGCACCCCCCACTCGAACAAGCACCTTCCAACCAAGTCTAGTTCTAGGTTTTACCAACACTTGTGGTGGTGGGCTAATAAAGTTTAGCGCCCTTGCCGCCCAAGCTCAAGCTTGGCTCAGGTCAAGCTCAGCCACACTTCAGGGCTACCTAGGAGAGAATTATGCACAACGAAGGATTGGATGAAAGGCTGATCATAATTAGATGGGTTACCTTCCCGCGTCTCTCAATCAAGCTCGCTCAGCAACATTAGCAAACAGAACTGCCACAGCCAGGAAGCAAACAAAGTACTTAGAGGTACAGGTAGAATGCCCCGAAAGTTAAATCAACAGGAGAACAAAGGAGAAAGCGGAGCTAACAAAAATAACAAAAAATGACAAAAAGTAAGCACCAAATGTGGATCGAACACATGACCTAGAGATCTGCAATCTCTCGCTCTACCACTGAGCTATTGATGCTGCTGACATGACAGGGACGACATTACTTAGTACTATGTGCTGACTAGTTAATTGCCATTCTCTAAATCATGCTCCGCTCTCCTTCATGCTTCAAGATCCCGTGTAACACGAAATCGTCTGTCAAACCGCACTGGTGCTTCTGTCACTCTTCCAGCTGCTTTTCCCTTGTTCTCTTGGGCGGCATGAAATTTTCTTACTCTCACGTCTCCTCTCACGACTGATCGCCGCCGAGAGGAGAGTCAACAATAGGGGAGGTAGTCGGAGATAGGCTAACAATATCATACACTAGCGCAACATCAAACAATCGACCTAGGTTAGGCGTAACAAGACATAGAAACATAGCCTCGTTACATTCTTCCTTGGCGGCGCTGTCGTGCCTATGACTCGAAGAACACCAACTGGACACCCAAGGACGAATGCATCAATTAGGTAGATCCGTCGAAGCTTTCGCGGAAATAGGCCAGTCTCAAAAAGCAGCCAGGCAGGCGCACTACGTTCTCAACAATCCAGATTGGTCTTTCCCATAATACGATGGTTTGGTGCAGCCTTAATGCGGTCTTGGACTTGATTGAATCGCGGCATCGCACCTAGGCAGTGTGTTTCGGGGATTCGGTGTCTTCTTACCTGAATGGGAAAACACCATTGGTTGGTCGCGAAGTATGGGAAGTACTTAACCTCTGGGTGCCTTATCAAATAAGTTGTAGGAGATATTGCGGTGCAAATTATGCAAGGGCATAAGTTATGTAAGCTCAGCCACAGTGCTAAACTCGGGCGTTGCTCTGTCATATCGCGGGCTAAAAGCAGCGAGGCTCTGGGACGCATCCAGCTTAGATGGAGCTTGGTAAAACCTGTCTCACACTGCTCGGCTCCCATCGTATTCGGTCAGGTACATAGTCATGCTCTGCATTCTAACCCCCCGCCTGGAATCATGGCTGTAGAACTCGGGATGTAGATCAAAACAGTGCCGTAGGTTTACGGATCACGGCCGACGAGAGTTGCGACAACCCCAGCACGACAGAGCTGAATTACGGAGTCCAACAAGTCACACGCTGCAGTGCCGCTGCGTTCGATGTTTTAATTATCTTCGGCCCCTTCGGAACGTCATACAGCAAACCTATTGGCCAATTCCCTTCCTTGGAACCAATTGACGTTGACCGCTCTTCAGCTTACTAATAAGCTTGTCCATACTATGTTTGAGCAAATGCAAGCGACCCAGGGTGTTTGTGTTCGCATCGGATACGAATACGACCCCGGGGTCATTGTTGGGGCTGTCGCCGAAGAAACGGTTCTGCCGCCACGAAGTCGAACCTGCAGCGATTGGGCGCTGATGGACCTTTTTTTTCCGAATTCGAGTGTGCATTGTTAGCACTCCATAGCGTGCGTCGAGAGCTGAGGACGGGGGTGTGCACAGCAAAGAAATGTGCTCTCGTGCCCCTTGGGTAGTATGTTGGTACTGCCCTGCCATCAATGCTGTCCGCAACAATCGACACGCAGGTATACCCTGAACGGCATTTCGCGGTCTGTCCGCTCCCCGGAGTTAAGAATGATGGTTGTGGCAAAGGCTGAAGGAAGCAATCGCGAGAATGGTCACTGCCCTTATCTGCTTACTGGTAATTCTCTTCCCCTCCCATTCTAACAGTCTTGGCAACCGCGTGGGGCAAGCGTCAGCGTGAGCGCTAGGAATTGGCTGGTTAACCTTATTGAGAGGCGGCCTGTGACTTGCTAACAGCCCTGTTGGTGTTAAGCAGTAGATGCTCTGTGGCAAATGGTTCAGCTGAAGTGTCAACTTGGGTCTTTCGAAGAACATGGTACTACCCTATACCTCCACATGGCTAACCTCCGCTAACGCTTGTTATGTCTGGAATAAGTAAGTCGAAGTTATCGTTCCGAAGTCCTATGGTTCTGATGTCATTTCTAGTTGTTGGTTCTTTTATCTTCGGCGTGATAGCCTATAGAGTAGCGAACGCAACCACTGTGGTGTCTCCTGGATCGCCCAAGTGAACACTGGTCTTTAGACAGTAGCGGCAGCACTTGTGGTCGAGTATCACGACGATACTCATGCTGTACCTCGAACAAGAAGAGACGATACCGGGAAACACCCAAGAAGGCCACAGTACAGATTTCTCATCCAAAATGCAACAGTGCTGCGCTTACGCAGTGACACCGGCGAGGTCCCGGAGCACCATGGCCCCTGGGCCGGTATTGTGGGCCCTGAATTCTCAAGCATCGCCGTGCCGTGCAGCTCCGAACCGCCGTGGCCCGTGCCGATGCGCTTGAGAACCATCAGTCAGTACCTTATGTTTATAAATATGGGGGGGTTTACCTTAGCCTTTAATGTCGATACGGCGCTCGAGATGAGTGGGCGATGCTGATTTCGGGAAACACTTGAGGATGTGACGTGTTTGGGGGTGATGCCCATCCTCAACGAGATTGACTGTTAAGAGGTGGGATCTAGACACGTACAAATATGTCGTCCTTTCCAGGTTCCAAGGTTTGATCTTCCGAGAGCGGGACGATCATATGGTTGCCAAGACGATGTGCGATCATGCTTAGCTGCAGAGCACAGTTGACGCATCTCAAGAACTCCCGCCTGCTTGAATCTACACGAGCGATGATGACATGGCTCCCCAAGTATCTCACTCCGGGTTGCACAAAGGCCAGCACCAAATCCCACGCCCACGTCATAGAATACTAGAGACTCGGCCATCTTCCTTGCGGCAGGCAGTACCTCTGCGTTTCCAGTCGTTTCAAAAACCTGGCCGTTGTCAAAAGGATTGCGTCATGGGTGCCCTCACAAGGCCCCCCACGATGCGCGGTTACCCTATAGCGGACAGCTCCGAAGAGTGGGGAGGGGCCTCAAAGACAACCTAAAGAGGCAACTGGAGTGATAGGGACGGGCTGATTGGTATGGGATGGGGATGGGCAGTGTAAGCGTCGAGTGGATGCGCAACGTAACCGGACGGGTTCTACGAGCGTGATAGAGTTGTAGCTTAGGTCTATGGCGCGTGTTACGCCTTTCCTGCCCGATGGGTCATGACTGATGGCAGCCCAGATGGTGGTGGCAGAGGTGGATATAACTGGAACCCGTCCGCAGTTGGGAATCGCGGGAGTTTCATCATCATCCCCCCCAAATCTACCATTTGCAACCACGCGTCTCCCCGCATCATCATCACTGTCAGCTACAACACCAAGAACCTTCATCAAAAGACTATCAAGAAACCCAGCCATCATGCCTACCTACATTGTAAGCACATTCTAAACTCGACTTTCAGTACAACCAAGCCAGCAGCAGAAGCCGCGGTTGCTGACAGCTTTCTACCCCTCACAGGTTTCTTGCAAGGACGACGCTACGCCGGAGCAGATCCAGTCGTAAGGCCCCTTCCCGGTTCCTCGAACGCAAGGACAAGAGAGAGATGGCGAATGACAAAAGAGAGGAAAAGCAACTGACACGGAGTGATAGTGCCAAGGACCATGCTGTTGAGCAGGGCGGCAAGATCGAGCACGAGTACAGCCTGATCAAGGGCTTCTCGTAGGTTGACCCCCTTCCTACTTCACAAGTGTCGCTCCCTCACTAACATGCCGCGCTTGCGATCACAGAGTCTCATTCCCCCAGGACTCCATCACAACCTTGGAATCACACGAGCACGTCAAGGCTGTCGAGGCCGACCAGCCGGTTCATACCCAGTAGATTGTGAACAAGAGGAGTAGGATGCCGCATTCAAGCTGGCCAGAGGAGGAACGGTGGCTATGCATAGATTCCGAAGAGTTCAAGCTGCCCGTTTGCCTCTATCGCATCTTATCTATAGAAAGAGGCTATATTGATTTACATTTGTCTCCCAGTCTCCTGTTTCGCATTCATTATTCCCTCGGCATCGCGCATCCATCTCCCACTTTGACGCCAACCGGGCCGGTGACGTAGAGCCTATGATAGCCTACGGTAGGCAACCCCTCTATTCCCCCTCTATCTCCCCCTCTCCGCAGGGCCAAACCCCCTTGTAAACACGTCAATAGGCCCTGTAAACTCGCTTCCGGGGCTTATCACGTTAGCGCGCTTTCAGGCGGCTTCTCGCGGGGCAAAATCATGACGGCCTGGGTGAGAGCGCTCCTTCCCGGGCCGTGGTCCAAGCTCCGCTGGCGCCGGGGGAGGAGCGACGGACGGGGCGAGTCATCCATCCTTCCACCCGGGTATCACAAGGGCTCCCGTCTCAGCCTCTGCGGTTTCGAAACTTGGACGAAGCAACTGCTTGAGCCCTTCAATACAACAAAACTTCCTTCTGTAGGCAGAATGCTCAAATGACGCAGCGGCAATGAATGGCTCATCTGCCAGGTCAATGAGGCGCTGCCTGCCTCGCAGCAATCAGAGTCCTGGGACATCAGCTGTTGCCACTCTCCCTCTTGCTCGTCTTATGATCCTTTCCCGGGTTCAACCACAGTCCTGCCAATACCACAGCTCATGGCACACCATACGGCGGTCGCAATGGGTCTCAAACGCCACGCTCAGATCCACTGGCTGCTCTCAGCGTCGTTATTTGCATAATAATAAGGTGTCGGACGCCGAGATCGCGGCCCTCGCCCGACAGCATCAACACCCACTCAGCCTGGCTGATCTTGTCAGGTATGTCTCTGTTGACGACGGCCTCAATTTCCTACAATGAGAAAACATGACGATACTGATTGCTCGAAAGACATGGCCGGCCACCGCTCTCGTCCGAATCCCTTCTCTCGTCGGCCAACTTCGCTCTCTCGCTTCTCCCCGTACGCCTCGCCCACCGCATCCAGGCCCTGCGCAACCTGCCATACATTGTGGTGACGAACCCCAACATCTCGCGCATCTACAACAACTACATCCACTCTCTGTCGATCCTGCTGCCCTACTTGCATGCCTCGCGCGACGGCTGTCCCATCGCATCCCTCGACGACGAGGTGCGCTTCACAAACGTCCTCGCTGAGCTCGTCCAGACGCACACCGACACCATTCCCATCCTCGCAAAGGGCTTCCT